GGGTATCAGATCAGAGAAAGCTGTGAGGTCCAGCTTTGGGCGAGGGGTGGGGTGTTCTCAGATCAGGTCCTGGAGGGAGGAAGGTCTGATCCAGAGTGAGTGCTGGGGAATGAAATGCGGGTTAGATCCAGACTGGGGGATGGAGGATCAGATTTGGACCTGGGAAGGGGCTAGGATTCAGATGAGGTGAAGGTGATCAGGTCTGGAGTGGGATAGCAGTGTCCGGTCTGCAGTGGGTTGGGGTGCAGGGATGTCTAGTTCCAGGGTGTCATGTCAGGGGTCTGGTGGCTGTAAGTAGTCTGAGGGAAGATGTAGTTGGGGGGGAGTTTTATGTAAGTATGGTGTCAGTTGAATGGTTACTCAGGAGTGAGACTGTGTATTTAACAACTTTTCCTGAGCAATAGTTCTTAATTTCACCAGAACCCTTCAAATTTAAATGGAGACTTTCAGAGGTTTCCAAGCATAAGACGAATTGTCAGCAGAATCTTTAATTTCCTTCAGAAGCTTCTACAATGGGGATTCCACAGGATCTCCATGCGCAACTGCTATTTACAATGGAACAATGTCCATCTGACCACTGGAGAATCCAAATTGAATCTGAGAAAATAAAATAGAGGGTGGACATTTTAGCTAAGGTGTAGGTTGGTAGCTGTTTAAATCTAAATGTCCAGTTACTTTTAAGAAAACAATAGCTGTATTCATACAAAAATTAATTACGATTGAAGCTGAATATTCAAACCCAACTTTGTTTATGGGGGGTCAAATTAGAGCCTGCTAACATTATGGTATTCACACATTGTGCTGTGATTCCCTGGGCATTACAAATTCTGACGTGGTTTCTTAAAACCAGCATGGCACAAAAGTTTATTTTAAGTGCGGTATATATGAAAGCATATGTGCAATGCCAAGTTCAAATATTGCCACCCTTATATGAGGTCGCATGATATTAGAATCATAGAATCCCCACAGTGTGGGAGCAGGCTATTCAGCACATACCAACCCTTAAAGGGCATCCCACCCAGTCCCCGTAATCTCACTTTTTCCATGGCTACACCAGCTAGCCTGCACTCCCCTGGACATTATGGGCAATTTAGCATGACCAATCCACCTAACTTGCGCATCTTTAGACTGTGGGAGGAAATCCGATCACCCCCAGGAAACCCATGCAGACATGGGGATAATGTGCAAACTCCACATGGACAGGTGCTTAAGGCTAGAATTGAAATCAGGTCCCTGACACTGTAAGGCAGCACTGCTAACCACTGAACCATCATGCTGCAGGTTGTTTCTTAACGTCAGGAACACCTCACCATATAAAATTTATTGCTTTATTGCTTAAATGGAGCAAGGTCTAATGCTGGAAGTAAACAATGGCTTTCATGTAAATAGGAATGGAAACACTCATAAAACTGCATACTAATTCAGAGATGTGATTATGTAATTTGTGTTTATTTCTTTAGATTTTAGTTTGTAAAGTGACAATTAGCAATTTTCGCAAGTTACCATCTTGGCATGGCTGCTCATAAGGTGTATCATGTGGAGAAACCAGATGGGAAGTAAAACAATAAATAATAATTAAATACCTTAAAAAATGAGTATTATTTTAATCAGTAAATGGTTAACTTAGGTTGACGCTTTTACCGATGTTTGTAAACCATTAACAATATATCGCTCACAGCGCTTGCATCCTGCCCACACAAATTGAAAAAAAACTGTTCAAGATTAAATCTCAGAGGAAGGAGTCAGCTTTCATGATTTATACTTAAATAAGAACAGCTTATTTGAAATATGAACTTTTAAATGCCGCCAATCACTTTCTTGTCTTTATTGATAGTTATTTTTAAGCTAAAGACTAGATGGTGCAATTATTTACCCTGTGATCCTTTCAAATTAATGGTTGAAAGCTTCCTATATACCATTTCCAAGAGTTGCACTTATAATTAACTTTGCTTGAATCAACTCAGTTTCTAGCATACATGAACCACTAACAAACCATTCCCAAGTTAGCTGTTTTATGCACATGTTCCATAAGGATAGCGACTGAGGTTATGGTAAAATTACATTGTTTAGAGAGAGTAGACAACCTTATTCTGAATCGGACTTTTCCATGTCTGACAAGCTTTGCTTGCTGCTGACAACAGGATTTTCCATTTTGGGTTCTGGATCCTGATTTTTGGATCAGATGTAGATTTTAAAATTTCAGGCTGGGAAAAGAAGATTGAGAATACCCAGAGGGTGGTGGGGGTCTGGAATGCACTGCCTGTGAGGGTAGTGGAGGTGGGAAACCTCACAACATTTAAAAAGAACTTAGTAACACTTGAAATTAGGACTAATGTAGGTAGTAGTATGTTTTGGCAAAAGGGACTGTTCTGTACTGTATGATTCAATGACTACACAGTGAACACACTTATTTGGGACAATCCTCATGGATTTCCTTATAATCCATTGGCGCAACGTATCACAGACAGAGCTACAGCATCATGGGATTTAATTTTACTTTTACTCTTTTGCAGGATGTAGACATCATTGGCAAGGCCAGTATTTGTTGCCCATCCCTAATTGCTCTGACAATGAAGTGTTGAGTTACATTCTTGAACTGCTGTAGTCTCTCTAGTGCTGGTTCATTCAGAACGCTGTTAGGAAGGAATTTCCAGGATTTTGATCCAGCAACATTGAAGGAACAGCAATACAGTTCCAAGCCAGGATGGCAAGGCAGGTGCTGGTGTCCTGACCTGGCAGACAGGAAATAAAGAAAAGAGGAGGAATAAACATGTTTTTCCTTAGTGGCAGCCAGTGACTAGTAGGATACTGTTAACACCAGTGCTTGGAACCCAGATTTTCACAACATATATTAATGATTTAAATGAAGGAACTAAATGTAGTATTTCAAAATTTTCAGATGATTCAAAGCTGTAAGGAGTTGAACTGTAAGGAGGATGCAGAGATGCTTCAGTGTGATTTGGACAAGTTGAGTAATTGGGACAATACATGGCAGATGCAGTACAATGTAGATAAATGTGAGGCTATCCACTTTGGTAGCAAAAACAGGAAGGTGGATTATTGTCTGAACAGCGATAGATTGGGGAAGGAGGAGGCACAATGAGATCTGTGTGTTCAAATAGCTGAATTGGATATCAGCATTACTGAAGGACTCTTTCAAAAGAGGTGCTTTTTAACAAGTCATGTCAGTAGGTGCTAATGACTTTTGTATAAGCAAATCCAATATCTTTACAGATGGACTTGGAGTTTTGGAATCAGGCTGGGAGATTTTTTTTTCAAGATTTTACAGCCTTCTGTTTCTTAAAATCCAAAGATAGCATCAATTTGTTGCTATTACTCTTCTTCAACTTTTAGCGTTCTCTTATAGACAGCCAGACTTTTTCTGGTTTTATCTCCAGCTGTTTTCAGTCTTATGACCAATATTATCCAAACAAAGTAGTTTCTAAGTCCAAAACCAACACAACACAGCGGGTGACCTTTCATTCAACTTGTGGATAATTGGGTCTCATCAGGTTTCTTTTGTTAAAAATCTTGTAGACCATTTAGGGGTCTTGCCTGCCTTTTTTCGGAAATGTTCTTCCCAATAACCAGTCTCTCAAGCAGACACTGAGTGCCTTTGATTGAGGAACTCCCCCACATGCTGAGGTGACAAGTTAACCCACAGTTTAGGTGCCATGTGCCATGACATTGGCAACAGGCCCACCTGCCACTAGCTTATCCCAATGGCAGTGGGATAAAACCCTTAAAATCATAGCATCATAGAATTATAGAATCCCGACAGTGTGGAAGCAGGCCATTCAGCCCAATGAGTCTACACCGACCCTCTGAAGAGCATTCCCTACCCTATCCCTGTAATCCTGCATTTTCCATGGCTAATCCACCCAGCCTGCACATCCTGGGCACTATAGGCATTTCACATGACCAATCTGCCTAACCTGCACATCTTTGGACTGTGAAAGGAAACTGGACCACCCGAAGGAAACCCATGCAGACACTGGGAAAACATACAAACCCCACAAAGACAGTCATCGGGGCTGTTGGGAAAGACAAATTTTCCTCCAGTGTATGAAATGTTCATTAATTGCCGGCTTGAGTACCACATTGAGGGTAAGATGTGACAATGGGCCTTTCTGCACAGAAATTAGTTTCAGTGCAGTGGGAAAGTGAAAGGGTTCAGGTATAGAACATTGTGCTTAAATAAGTGCCTTTCCTGCCTCCATGTTCACTACCAGCAATAACAGAAAATTCTACCTTTGGAGTGGAAGAAACCAGTTGTTCTATGTTTTGAACAATCTTTGAACAATGGCAGGTGTGACTTCCACAAAGCAGTGCTCTCTAGGCATATCCATTCTACATGGAGGCATGATTCAATGTGGTATTTTCCAGAAGTGTAATAAAATGTGTTAAATCAACAAAGTTTGTCTGTTCCCTTGGCGACCATCTTAACAATTCATAAGTGTTAATTCTTTGTAAAAGAAGATGGATCTAGAAGCACCATACAGGCACAGGCCTTTCATTTATTGGACATAACATTGTCACAGTAATTAATTGGAAATTTTTTGATGATCATGAAAGCCAAAATGCTGCAAGTGTTACAGATGTCCGCAAATGTCGACACTTGTGGGATATCTATCGTTTACGGACAGACCATGAGGTCATTGTCATTTCCTTTATACTCATCGCCAGAAGAAGAAGTTTGCAAAAGAGAGATAAAGACAGAAATTATGAGAAAATTGTGGCATGGAGTGAATTCTACAGAAGGATATTAGTATAAAGATAATTATAACAGATGCTATTAAAAACGCTGGAAATACTAATAGGTCAGGCAGCATCCACAATGCTAGTCTTCTGGTTAAGATGGCGGCAGAGTAAGACACTCCAGCCGGAGCTCCTCTGCTCACCAGTTCCTTTCCCTTTTTCTTTCTTTCCTTCCTTCCTGCTGTAGTTTTTCTCCCCCCCACCCCAACTTTTAACGTCATAAAGTACCCTACCTGGAGGGAATGAAGAAGAGTCCGAGACCAGCCTGGCTCGAGAGACGCGTCGCAGTGGAGTGGGAGCAGAGCAAGCGTGGACTGAGTCCCAGAAGCAAGTCGCAGCCAGAGCAGCAGCAGAGCGACCGTGGCCAGGCTGGGAGCCGAGTTGCGGCTGGAGCGGGAGCAGATCAATACCAGGTGAGCCAGAGGGACGGGTCCTGGACAGATGCCGGTATATGGAGGTAATGAAGCCTCATGTTCACAGACTCAATGAAAACAGACTATAACTTGAGTACTTTGAAGATACTTTTTATTCTCAATCTGGTCATTTTAAACTCTGTATTCCCATGCTATTCTTTTTTTAACTATTTTAATTTTGTAACAACACTTAAAGTATCTATACCTAGGCACTCAGTACCTAAGATGGCGCCCAGAGGTGACATCACAAACTTTTCACCGCACTTATTCCAGTGCACATGACAATAAAAGCTATTCTGTTCTATCTGGTGAGAAATATAATTTGATGTTACAGATAAATGATCGTTCATCAGAAAATGAGTTATATTCATATGCAGACTGGATTCACTGCATTCCTGCACTCAGCTCATGCATTTGCAAGGAAGCTCTGACTAATATTTGAAATGGAAAATCAACGAGTGTTCTGTTGGCTTGCATCATGCTTGTTTAGCAATCAACTCAGAATGATTTCACCTGCAGTTGCTTGCTAATACAGGGAATGAAAACCGGTGAAAACAAAAATATTTGAGACATAAGATTGAATTTGTTCCTGAGAAATGTATTTATTTGATAACTGTAGGATACAAGTTACCTGCTTTCAGTATTATTCAGTGTTTAATTTGTTCTTCAAGATTGCATTTTTCCTTCATAATGTGTATGTGCTGTTACTAAATAGCATGTACTTGAGTCACAGGAACCACTTCCTGGATTTCACAAGCATTGACATTGAATCGTACAATAGTTTTTTTAATCTCATGATTAAAGTCAGTGAATATGATATGGCTACATGCAGGTGCCCTTAACAGGTTGGCAATTCTAGGAGTTCCATACACTAATCAGATAAATATTTCATCGGATTTCTACAAGCGACTTACAATGTAACACTGTTGGGTATTTCTAGTTTTCTGTACATCATATTGTGGTTTACTTTAGTATTGCCAGAAAAATTCATGTTATCACATTTAATGGAAAATTTTAACGAGACTGTATTCACAAAGTAGACTATGTTTGATGAATGTTGATAACAACAGAATCATGAGCACTGTAAATTGTGTGTGCTGACCTCTACATAATTCACCTCTCACCATTGTGCGTTTGTTCCTCAATCCTAATTACCTTTGGGAAGGTGGTGACGAGCCACCTTCTTAAACCTCGGCAGTCCATCTGGTACAGATACAGCCCTCGTGCTGTTAGGAAAGTAGTTCCAAAATTTTGATCCAGCAACAGTGAAGGGATTGAGATGAAGTTTCATTTCATGATGGTATGTCACCAAGAGGAGAATCTACAGATGGAGAGGTTCCCATAAGTTTGCTGTCCTTATTCTTTTAGGTGATAAAAGTCTCAGATTTTGAAGGTACTGTTGAAGAACTCCTTGCCACTTATTGCATATCCTGCATATGGCATGCACTGCTGCCCCTGTGATCAATTTTGGATGCAGTGAACATTTAAGATTGTTGTGTGGGTATCAAGTGGGCTGATTTGTGCTCCATAGTGTTGAACTTCTTAAGTGTTGTTACAGCCACATTCAAATAGGCAAGTGGAGGGTATTCCATCACACCCCCGACTTGGGCCTTGTAGATGTGAACAAGCTTGGGGGCATCAGGAAGCATGTTATCACTGAATTCTCAGTGTGTGACCAATTGTGTAGCCACAGAACTTTTATAGTAGGTCCAGGTTAGTTTGCAATCAACATTTCTCAGGCTGTTGATAGCAGGGGTGATTCAGCAATGGAAATTGAATGTATATATTTTAAGCCTTGTGTTTGTTGTTTGTAAAACTATACGATCTTGGTTAGTCCATGTATATTAGAACAAAGAATAATACAGCACAGGAACAGGCCCTTTGGCCCTCTAAGCCTGCACTGACACATTTTGAAGTTCCATACTCAAATTGTCTTATAGGATCTGTATCCCTCTATTCTCTTCCTATTCATGCATTCATCCAGATGCTTTTTGAGTGCTGCTAGTGGGTCAGCTTCGATCACCTCCTCTGGCAGAGTGGTCCAGGCACTGAGGAAACTGAAAAACTTGCCTCGCACATCTCTTTTAAACACCCCCACTGCAAACTGAAAGTGTGTCCCGTTGTAATTGAGCGATCTACCCTGGGAAAAGCCTCATACTTTCCACTCTATCATGCCATTCACAACCTTATAAACATCTATCAGGTTAGCCTTCAACCACCTGTGTTCCAGTGAAAACAAACCCAGTCTATCCAACCTTTCTTCATAACTAAAATCCCCCATACTGGTAAACATTTTCCGTACTCTTTCTAAAGCATCCAAATCTTTCTGGTAAGGGCAGGAGAAAAAAATGCCTCACATTTTATGCATGCTTGACCACCTCACAGAACCAGGTCATTCTGTCATCTGAATCCAATATCCTAGTTATCCACACAAGCCTCATTTCACCTGATGATCTGTTTTTTTCCTGTGTGGGCTTAGATATTTTCCAAACCAACCTGCTTGAAGGCATTGCTATTCATGTTTGGAGTAGATGAGACCTGAACACAGGCCTCTTTATCTAAGGGGCAGGCACACTACCACTGCACCAAAGCCCTCCTGGGTTTATCAATTCTGCCTTAAAAGTAAACACCTTTATTGCATCTTGTGGTAAACGGATACATATTCTGCTCTTCTCTAAGAAGTCTCTCCAATTCCTTATAGTTTCTTTTCATTACAGTTTTGGGTTTATCAGTGAAGAGAACTGGAGTACAGGTATAAATATGAGCTGCTAAAATTGTACAGGGTTTTGGTGAGACCTCCATCAGGCTTATTGCCTGGAGTTTTGGTCTGCACATTTAAGGGAGGATATAATTGCATTGAAGGCAGTTCAGTGGGGCCTTGTTGAATCAGCACATGGGATGAAGGGGTTTGACCTGTGATGAGAGACTGAGTAAATTGAATCTCCTAGGCATTAAAAGATGAGAGATGATTTAATTGAGATTGTAAGCTTCATTTTTGTATGGCCTGATCCACTTGTTTACTTAATGGGACTTGTGTTACACTAATAAAGAGACATGGTTTATCATGAGGCATGGTTTATTATTGTTGAAACAGAAGATAGATATATATACACAATGTTACAAAACTAGTCTTTCCCTCTAATATCCTGAGTAATCTTACAGTTCTTAAATGTCCAAGCCCACACTCCAGTTTAAAATTTGCTTTGGGAGCGCAAGATGTTAAAAAGTGTATATTACCCGGAATACAGCTGTTCAAACTGGAATTGACCAGCTCCCAAGGTTCCTGCTTCTTGGTCCTGATGTTGTCTGAAATGTGTGTGTAGTCAAAGTGCATTTAATTGTTGTGAATTATTCTGAGTTTCTTTTGCAAAAATGTTTGAGAGTGATCAGTGATGAATCAAAGTTGAAAACCAATCATAAAACTTACATTTGTTAAGTTATCAGACTCCAATATTTTGGAAATTGGTCTCCCAAACTAGTCACTCAGGAGAAACAGTCTGCACATGGTTGTTTTCTGAAGAAGGGTCTAGGCCTGAAAGGTCAGCTTTCCTGCTCCTCTGATGCTGCTTGGCCTGCTGTGTTCATCCAGCTCTACACCTTGTTATTTGCACATGGTGGTGTGGTGGCTCAGTGGTTAGCACTGTTACCTCACAGCACCAGGAACCTGGGTTTGATTCAATACTTGGGTGACAATCTATGTGGAGTTTGCATATTCTCCCCTTGTCTGCGTGGGTTTCTTCCAGATGTTCTGTTTTCCTTTGTCCAAAGATGTACAGGTTAGATGAATTGGCCATGCTAAATTGCTCATTATGTTCAGGCATGTGCAGGCAAGACGGATTAGTCTTGATAAATGCAGGGTTACAGGGTAGGGGGATGGATCTAGGTGGAATGCTGTTCAGAGGGCCAATGTGGACCCAATGGGCTGTACAGCCTGATTCCATACTGTAGGGATTCTATGATTCCATGATGAATGCACTTGCTTTCATAGCTCACAAACAAAATCCGTTGTATGAACCCTGATGGTCCCTATCAATGCCATTCTGAAACAGTTCTTCATTGGAGGTAGTCAGCATAGAAACATTGGAGATAGGAGTAGGAGGAGGCCTTTCAACCCTTTAAGTCTGCTCCACCATTCATCAACTCAATCGCTTCATCCTGCTTTCTCCCCGTAACCTTTGATCCCATTTGCCCCAAGTGCTATATCTAGCTGCCTCTTGAATACATTCAACATTTTGGCATCAACTACATCCTGTGGTAATGAATTGCACAGGCTCACTACTCTTTTGTCTCCTCACCTCTGTCCTAAACGGTCTACCCGAATCCTCAGACTGTGAGCCTAGTTCTGGACTCACCCACCATCGGGAACATCCTCCCTGCATCTACCCTGTCTAGTCCTGCTAGAATTGTATAAGTCTCCATGAGATCCCCTCTCATTCGCCTGAATCCAGCGAAAACAATCCTAACCTAGTCAATCTCTCCTCATACATTAGTCCCGCCGTTCCCAGAATCAGCCTGGTAAACCTTCACTGCACTCCCTCCAGAGCAAGAGCATCCTTCCTCAGAAAAAGAGACCAAAACTGTACACAATATTCTAACCATCGTCTCATCAGGCCCTGTACAACTGCAACAACACATCCCCGCTCCTGTACTCGAAACCTCTCACAATGAAGGCCAACTTACTATTTGCCTTCTTTACCACCTGCCGCACCTGCATGCTTACCTTCGGTGACTGGTGCACAAGGACACCCAGATTCCGCTGCACACTCCCCTCTCCCAATTTACAGCCATTCAGGTTATAATCTGCCTTCTTTTTTCTGCTTCCAAAGTGAATAACCTCACATTTATCCAAATTATATTGCATCTGCCATTGATTTGCCCACTCACCCAACCTGTCCAGATCATGCTGAAGGATCTCTGCATCCTCGTCACAGTTCACCCTCCCACCCAACTTCGTATCTTATGCAAATTTGGAGATGTTACATTTTGTTCCCTCATCCAAATCATTAATATTTTTTGTGATTAGCTAGGGTCCCAGCACTGATCC